TTTTTTTTTTTTTGAGGTGGGGTTCGAATCTATAGTTATAAAATATCTTGCATTTGTTTCAACTTTTTAATTTAGGCATGAAATTTGACATGTGTAGATTTGTGATGAATGCATTGAAGGCTAAAGAGTTCTATCGGCAAGATGTGCAATATATTGTCAGAAATGGGAAGGCTCTCATAATAAATGAGGTATGATTTATATTTAGATTATGCGGAATTGTATTTGCAAAAGATAAATTTTGTTGTCCATCATAGTTTTAGGTACCTTAAATAAATTAAGAAAGACCAATATTTTGACATTTCTCTAGTTTCAATTGAGGAGTGGGTTATAATTTATACCCAATGCCACTTTTATGGATTGTGAATTGTCTTGGATCAAATCATCATGTTGCTTATATTGACAGCAGAAGGGATAGAATAATAGAAAGAAATGTGGAACATAAATTCATTGATGCTGCATTTTATAACAATTAGTAATTGAGTGTCTCATTGAAATAGAAACTGAAGTTCTTAAAATATTTTCAGCTAACTGGCAGAGTTGAAGAGAAGAGAAGGTGGTCTGAGGGGATTCATCAGGCTGTGGAGGCTAAAGAAGGCTTGGAGATTCAGGTACATCTGAAAGTTGGACAATTAGTGCTTGAAGTTTTTCTGCACCTATAATTCATTACCTGGAGAATATTCCGTCTTAGTTCAAAGTTGTAATATCAGTATACCTTTTAGGCTGATTCGGTGGTTGTGGCACAAATCACTTATCAATCTCTATTCAAGCTCTACCCAAAACTTTCAGGGATGACTGGGACTGCAAAAACTGAAGTATGCCTGTTTACAAGCATTTTGACATTGTATTTTCTAAAGGAATTAATTGCAAATATTCATATTTGCATGTTTAATGTTAAATTCTCCATGATCATTTCAGGAGAAAGAGTTCTTAAAAATGTTCCAAGTGCCAGTTATTGAAGTACCAACAAATCTGCCAAACATTCGTAATGATTTACCTATTCAAGCTTTTGCGGTAGGATATTTAAC